CACGCTCAACTAGACCGTTCGTGAAATAATAATGCGCCTCTCCTGCGAGTATGCCGCGTAGGTCTTGCCACGGAGACAATGGGCGTGGTTACGTCCAGCCGCGACGGCGTCGTTATGGCGCACAACGCCATCTCTGGAGCGTTGTATACGTAACACTTTTACTATTGCACACTCTTAAGGATTCTTTACGGAGTCCTTGTCAGGACAGTAGGGACTCCTAATGGATTCCCATGACTGTCCTCACAATCTTTGAATGCTTGCCACAAGGATACCAATTCAGGAGTCCTTTGTGGGATAGCTGTAGGACTCCTATAAAGGATGTATAAAGGAATCCTTTAAAAGAAGCATATAATAGCAATATTAAAATTATAATTTGTGTATTGTGCATTTGTGCTAGAACGTACAATACTATACTAAATACTGTATGATGCTTCTTATTTATCAACTCTGTAATGCATTGTAATGTATTAACATTAGATTAAATATTTTTAGTTTGAAAAACAATTAAAAACGTATATTTGTCAAGACTTTCATTTTATTAATTTTATAATAAAAATAAACAATTTTGAATTTATTCTAATTTTTTTTTTAATCTCTCTTTTGAGTGACGTAAGAAGCTTGTTATTTGTATATTTATTGCATCAGGGGTAGTGGATGGAAACTTTTTTTGAACAGTAGGTATCTGTAAAATATAATAATTTATATAAATATTTTATGTTAATAAATATCAAGTTGAATACAACCATAACATACAATCACATCCTCATGATATATTATTAAGACTTTAATTATAAGTTATAACACTTCTACTGCAACCTTGGTGGTATAAATCTAATAAGATTCTAATCATTCTAGTAACTGGTAGGCATGATATATTTATAAAGAACTGCAGAACTCATCATTTAAAAAATGTTTAATTTTATTTACTTTTCAACTTCAAAAATATCTTTTGAATATTACTGGGATTTTAAAGTTAATGGTACTTGGTGACTGATATCACTGAAAATATATTGTAAATTATATAGAGTACCTGCCTAATAGTAATACTGTGCAATTATCTATGCTGCACTAATTAATCCCGCGTATAAAAAACCCACATAATTTTTGTAAAAAAATGTCAAGTTAGTAATTCATTTCAACGTTTAACAAAAACATATATGCGGGATTAACTTCTACAAATACATATATATATATTAAATTAATAAGTATTATATTTTAAAAGACATTAAAAATAAAAACAGAATTTAATTGTTTACACGCAAATGATATATCAATAATAGTAAATCCTTGAGACACCCTATACAACATTGTTTAAATTATAAAAATGATGGTCGTTGTATAAATGCCGACTAAAGTTTAAATATTATAACCAACATTACTTGCCTAAAATACATTGATACAGGTATAGTTTCACAAAGCCAATTTTCTTTTTATCAGTGTTATTTCTTTTTTTTCCAGTGAAATTAATTTCACAGCCCAACTCATCCGTTATAGTGTGTTCTAAAATTCTCCTCAATAGTACTGTATAATCTTGCCCGCCGTAATTTTTATATTGAGTACACTGTACATAAAATAAAAATCAAGTTATACAATATTATTAGAAGCGATCAAACTTTTATAATATTGACATAAGAGCTTGCAATTAAACTTATAATTAAAATCACTTAATCTTACTAAGTTTCCAACAAATGTTCTATTTTTCAACTCATTTTCTAATTCCTTTAATTGATTTTCATTAGCAGCCGGTAATAACTTTTTATACTTTGAAGAAAAAGTTGAGTCATCTTCTTGTAGGTTTGTCATTGTTGCTTTGCTCTCAAGAAGTTCATCAAGTTTGCTAATTATGTTAGCTTGGCCCCGCAAAAGTGCTTGAAAATATTCTGAAGAGTGAAAATAAAAGCACAATTAATATTGATTAAAATAATATATTAATTTTATAATAAATTATTGAATAAAATAAATTATGAATTAAAAAAATACTAATGTTAGATGTACATACTAGTGCATTGATCGATGTGTTTTGTTGAAGTCTCTTCTGTCTTATGGTGGTTTTGAATAATTTGTGATTCATGTTCTAAATTATAAAGACTATAATACATTTGGGTTATTAAAATAAAATTAAAAAGTCCTATAATTTTACCAGTTCCTCCACCACTGAGAATGTTACATTGAGTTGATGAAGGAAGTTTTTTAAATACTGGTGATTGATAAAACATTTCGGGACTTACACCTAATTGACAATAAAGTAATGGTATTTAAATATAATGTAACAATTTCACATTTTAAAATTAGTTATTATAATTTACTATGTTGGTCATCATTATCCTCCTTGTCTGAAGCTACATCATTTTTATAAGGACTAACAATGTAATTACTAATTCTTGGTCCTAGAATAAAACATTAGAATATTAATTATCACTATCAGGTATATTTTTCTAAATCATAGGAAAAAAAGTATTCATAAATATGAATTTACCAAAGTTGTTATCATTTATAGCATGAACATGATTTGGAGAGCTTGATGAGTGTCTGCCATGAGTTAGAGGAGAATACTGGGCGAGAATATGACCTGAATATGAAATAAAATAATAAAACAAATTTTTAAAGAATTTATGCGTTAAATGTGTTACCAAGACTATCATCAGCATCTTTTAGTAATCCACTGGGAGATTTAGCTTTTTGATTAAAAATCAGCTCTGTATCTAGAAAAATATAATGGAGAAATTGCAATCAATACCTATATTTAAGGAAAACTTCCAAGTTATTAAAGTTGTTATAATGTCTTTTATTATTTTCAATTAAGAATTTAGTTTGTGATTCATATTTTTGAAATTCGGAAGTTTATTTAATGGAAATAAAATCTGAAACTATTATAATTTATAAAAACAATTATTTTATTTAAATCTCATACAATATTTGAATTTACCGAAACAATCAACATTTTTCTTAAATAATTTCTTTTTTGATTTCACTTCTGTAGAGTAACTCTGATCAAAAGAAGATACTGAAAAAAAAGTTATTTAATTAAAATAATGTAAACTAAACTGTATAATAATAATAGTAAATCAAACAAAATTATGTATAATTTACAAATAATTGTAGTCTAAAAGTTTAAAAAAAACTTGTCTTCATTAGAAGTTATTTCAGGAAACAGTTTTCTTTTATGATCTAGGTAATAAAAATTATAATAATATATTAGATAACTAGTAAACAGCACTAAATAAAACATACTTAATTATTTATAAAAAGCTATTCAATCTAATAAAATACCTGAATTCTGTGGTTTTGGTTTTTCATGGCAAAGGATATGGTGGTATATTTATAAGAGATGACAATAATTGTTTTATTTTTGGTCTTTTTTCTATAAATTAAAATGTTGTTATTAAAAAAAAAAAAAATTAAGTACCTATTTTTAAATGATGGTAAACATAAACATTTAACAAAATTGAATAATCATTCACAACTGCTCAAATGTCTTGACAAATATAGTACATACCTAGGCTATCATGAGGTGGATCATATTTTTCTTTTGTTTTTTTAGCTCTGATTTTCCGTGTTTTTTTTTTGAGTATGTTCTGCATCTGACGTATTTGATTATGTTGTTTTGTATATCTATATATATATATAAAAATGGAGCCGAAAATGTATAACAATTCATCAAATGAGAACGACTTGGCCGATTTGGCTCAAATTTTTTTTTAATTGTTCGTAATTTCCAGGAGAAGGTTTTTACGGAAAATAATGTTACCTTTTTAAAAAATTTTTTTGATGATTTACGTTTTGAGTTCCGGAATGTTTTTTCGAATTGAAAAAGCTACACCAAGCTTTAGCTTATAAAATTGTTCATATGACAATTAATCGTTCAAATGGGGCCCCCGGCCAACACCAAAAAAATGAATCAACATGGAGAAATATTAGGTATGTCGTGTATTGAATATTAGGTATTAATATTATATGTTTCACTATATAAAGTAAAGTTTAAATTTTGTAAAGTGATGATTTTCGTATCATTTTTATTCCGTTCGATTTTATTTGTAGCCTTAATATTCTCTTTGCATAAAACGCAATAGTCAATATAGTAAAGATACAATTTAGGTTTTATTTATATGAAATAAGATTAATCGATTATTACGACTTCATTTTCCATTTTCCGTTGTTGGCGTTACCAGAAAAACTGCCAGAGTACAATTTTATTTTATTTTACTAATCAACTAATCTAACAAGACACAGTCATGCATGGTTTCGATTCACAATTGGACTCGATAGGTCCGACCCGCGGAGTTGCTCAGAGATTTTAAGATGTACGAAGAAAATATTTATTTATATACTGTTGCTATTGGTTATAGGAGGAATATAAATATATTTAGTAAAATAGTTATTTTTTTGTGTTTCTCGGTGGCCCGCAGTGGTTCATAAGCATGCATGCAATTGAATTTTCGTACATTGCCTACCAAGGTGGCGGAGTTGCGCTTATAGCCGCTCATTGGCGTGTCCGCAATCAAAATAAATATAAAACATATTATTTCAATAATACACAGCAAGTAGGCACAATAAACTGCTCGCATTATCACCGTCGAGTCTCATATAGAGTTGGCATTTTTAACGGGCAACAAAGTGCACGGGATCAGATAGTTATAATATAATGTATGTAGATTATTATGAGAATTATCGACCACTACTTGATCGCCGGTGCAAAAATAGTTATTTTTTTTTACCGTTGATCCTTGTCAACTTGAAAACAATTACATTTATTATATTATGTGTGCGTTAATCTCCACTCTTTTTATTATTACATCGTGTGTGTTAATTGTTATTTATTTATTCACAGGTAGCAGCTGGCCAGCCGTGCTCCACAAACTGTCAGTTTTATTTGTTATATTTATTATATTAATATACGTGATTTTTTGATCCAGAAGGGCCGAGCATTTATATAATATAATTTATTCTGTGGGGTCAGAAGGGCCAAAATATTATCATTTACCCCGTTCAACCATAAGGGCTATTATTCATTTTATTATATTTTTATATCTTTTTGTTGCTGTGATTTATTTTATTCCGTGTTATCAATTATTATTAAACTTAATATCATACAGTGACTCTAAGTTACCAGAAACCGTGCTGTTATTATTTTTGTTTTTAAGCACACGCCCACACGCATATACACACCTACACACCCACCGCACACTAGCACTCTCGAGTTCGCTCGGTGACCCCGTACACTTATTTAGAGTCGCTATACATAATACATACGCGAACACAGGTGTAGTGTGGTGAAGTATGAAGTATTAGGTAACGGCCAAGTGCGTATATTATTATACGCAGCCAGCCAGTTGAACAGTAACATTTTAGGAATTTTAACCGCTGGTAATCGTATATACCAGGGGTGGGCAACTGGCGGCCCTCGACCCTTTTTTGTCTGGCCCGAGTTACATTTTCGAATTACATGAACCTTTGCCAATGACCCTTTTTTGCTTTCTATGCTCTGGCCAACTAGATTTTAATTTTCTAAAAATTGGCCCTCAAGTAACTTTGAGTTTTCCATTCCTGGTATACACAATATCTCAATACAAATGTATAGTTGATAATTACATATATTTATTCGGCAATTCCTTAGGCATATATGATTTTATTATAATTTTTTCCAAATACATAGGATTGATCATAGGTAATTTTCAGTGAACCTAAAAGTATATGTCATGGGTATGACATGACCACTTTATAGAATTAGGGTATAGGGGGGGGGGGGGGGGGGGGTGGTGTCTCGGGTGGCTCGGGTAGGTGGCCAAGAGTGGCTTGGTTTAGACGGGGTAGCAGCGTGCAACATTGACTCGTATATATTAGGGGACTAGGGACTATTATTTTTGAAACATCTAAATCATACTTCTTATGTATATGATGGTAATGATAATAAATTAATAAGTACCTAATTATAATCATTGACCATTCTTTTTACTTCGGAATTTTTTACAATGGACTTTTTCACTGCGATTAATCGAACCCATACCGAACAACTACTGTCGTAGATAAAATACGAGTATATATAATATAGTTATGACTAAACGGTTGACTATTGGTATTATTACCCAACCCACCTCTCTTCATATACGAGTACCTTACTCAAAGAATGCATACATACGTACTTATGTACCAATATATGTACGTATGTATGTATTCTATAAGCTTAAAAGGGCGCCCCTGAACCGAGTTGAGGCATAATGTATAGTCAATAGATTGGTTGGTTGATTAATGTTTGATAAATTGGTATTGAAGACTTATAAAAAAAAAATCAAATGAAAAAATCAATGAAAAAATTGAATAATTCAAATAATCGATCAGGTCTATAAGTATTATATGAATGTATGTATTTATGTGTGTATGAATGTATATATGTATGTATGTATGTATGTTGGCTAGTTTAATTTATTAATAATTTAATGAGTACTACTATCATCTGCAGTTACGAATTATATACCTGAGAGTATAATATCTAGAGTATATAGAATTTATTAGGTTATTGATATTGTTAGGTGAAGACATAGTAGACTATCCTATGAACAATTTCAATTTCACCACACTTTTGTATACATGCATGTATAATATTCATATGTAGATAGAAGATAATATGTTATAGTTAATAGTATTTTCTTATGTTATATGTATTATTTATGTATAACATTACAAGCCACTAACTTTTGGTAAGATATAAGTATCAAATACATTGTTTGAAAAATATACTGTCCATTATATATATATATAAATATTATATATATTTATTATATTATATGTTATTATATTGTATTTTTATTATTATTATTATTAGTATTATTTTTTATTAGCTTTCGGTATAAAACCATTATAGCTTAACAATTACTATTAATATATCTATATGATACAGCAGACAAGATTACATAATAATATAAATATAAAGATTATAAGAAGTAGTATAAAATATAACAAGATTGCATGTTAGCACAAATAGGATATAGCATATAACATTGAATACAACAATATTTATGGTGTATTAAGTTTGTGTAGAACAGCTGTAAGCAGAGAGAGGAGGGGCCGAGGGGGTTAATTAGTGAAGATAGCTCGGACATAAAATTAGATAATGTGGAAAGGTCATTAAATGAATCTAACCTATTGTTATTTATAGTAGCATTGATATCATTGGGCTTGGAAACAACAGATGCATAAGGCGGTTTGGACTGAGAGGTAGTAGAAGAGAAGTGTTTGGAAGAGATAATTCGGCCGGTTTATTTATTTTGAGAGTCTGCGTTCGTTTTTTGTTCTGATGGTTTTTAAGACGCTTTGAAAGTGAATTGAAAACTGGGAAACCTTTGTAATTGGCCGTATGGTCACCGGCACAGAGGGCGCATTTAGCTGGGCTGTTTTGGTCTTTTTTGCAATCCTCGGGAAAATGATCTTCGCTGCATTTGACGCACCTAGGAGTATGGTGACAGTGATTTCTTGTGTGTCCGTAGATTTGGCATTGATGGCATTGTGGGGGACCACGACGGGTTTTATGAGGTTTCTCGATGACGACAATGGTGTTGAGTAAAGACGTAATATTAAGGACATCATTGTTGTTATTTTGGGGAAATAAATCGACAAATAACATTGGGAGGGCGCACTTGTTTTTATTTTTAATATTCATTACGTGTTTTGCGGAATGTCCTTTGTCTAACAAGGCGGCTGAAATATCAGTGCACAGGTATTTTTATTATAATATTATATATATATATAAACCAAATTTAGCAGGAAAATATGTGTAAGATCTTTTAACGTATTGAGTGTAGGGTATAACGAAGGTTTTTAAAATTGTATTAAGACTGTGTATTATAAAAACGTATAAGAAATGTTAGGGCTTACACAGAGTGCTAGCGGATATGGATTTTATAAATTAAAAGATGTTTGTGTGGAAACGACTATGAAATAAGGAAAGGTCGAATTGTAACAAGTGACTTTGTGGCTGTTGTACGCATTAACGGCCGTCCAAGAACCTTATTACTATATAAAAAATAATAATAATAATAATATACAGCGTAGTGTATTACCATGCATGTTTTTACACAGTCGCCGTTTACCCGCAGTGCACAAATGACGCCCGTCTGGGTCAGAGACAAACAATAATATAGGCCGTGAGATATATTGTATTTACGCTGTGGCTATATCCCCGACAGTCGGGTCTTTATTAAAGACCCGACAACTATGATAACAAATACGCATGCGCGGATAATATACATGATAACAATACAACAATGATAATACGATAATTATTATTCATTAATAATGCGATAATTAACTGATTTTACAATTTAAACATAAAATTGAACATAAAACATATTTTATTTTATTTACCTAGGTCATCAGTGGATGGTTCTATTTTTGTCTTAATATCTTCTTTTTCTTCATCTTGGATTTTATGCCACATAAGCTATTTATATTTTTTAGATTCTGAGTAAAGCGAGGAATGCAATGGTTTTACAATGATGTTTATTTTTTTTTTAAATATCAAATGTATCGCTTTTTCTAAAAGGGAATTCTCTTGGGATAGTACTTAGTAGACAAGGGAAAAGCTTTCATTTTAATTTTGGAAGTTTTTTTTTCTTGTAATTTGTTGTAAACCGAATGTACCACTGCACTTTGCTCTGTTTATCGTCTGTTAATCTCTGTTAATCATTGTTAACAAGTATAAAACAAATCTCCATGTCACATATATCCCCAGTATCAACTGTCTGGTTATTTGGCCATAACATATCCATCACCATTTCCCTCTTAACCGTTGTCGTGGTTTACATAGAATTTCCTTGTAACATAATATGGAGGCGCCCGGTGCCGATGCCATTTCATCCTCAAAAATATACTCTGCGGTTATAACAATACCTTGTAGAATCAACCAAATTTCATAATTTTTTTTATAATATTCTAACCTAACCCTTAAGCATGGGCACAATTTTAAATAAATAACATGAAAAAAAAATAGAAGGTCTTTTTTTATCACCCTCAGATTTGAAATTGCGCCCCTGGACATAACAATACTTATAATTCATTTTCCTATTTTATAGTATCCACCATTCATTAATATTTACAATAATTCACATAATTCACAAATTACATGTTTCTAAAATATTATAATGACAGTAATATGTTTACCTTTATAGCTTATATTATTATAATAATTATGAATTAAATATTAATATGAAATAATGTAATCACAAAGAAATCATACAATAAAACTGTAAATTGTAAAATCAGTTAATTATCGCATTATTAATGAACAATAATTATCGTATTATCATTGTTGTATTGTTATCATGTATATTATCCGCGCATGCGTATTTGTTATCATAGTTGTCGGGTCTTTAATAAAGACCCGACTGTCGGGGATATAGCCACAGCGTTGTATTTATACTTTGTATTACAAAAACGTATAAGAAATGTTATGGTTTACTAGGGTCGCCGCAGTCAGTGGTCCGTCCAATGTCCACCAAGTACGAGCGGATATGGGTATTATAAATCAAAAGATGTTCATGTGGAGACTACTGTGATATAAGAAAATGTCGAATTGTAACAAGGGGCTTCGTGGCTGCTATACGCATTCCAATACTACAAAAACATCTACTTTTATCATTCTCAGGTATTTTTGGAGAACGTGCAACGAACAATAAACTCTTATACCCATTGTACCCATGTGTGGTGTATCGACGATAATGTTATCCGTTTTCGGATCGAAGGGTCGATCGATCGACGGTTGTAAAAAAATCTTATTTCTATATAAAAAAAAAATAATGACAATAATATACAGTACAGTGTATTACCATGCATATTTTTACAAAGTCGCTGTTCACCGACTGTGTGCAAACGACGCCCGTCTGGGTCGGGTGCAAACAATAATAGGCTTTGAGTCTTGAGAACGGTCATAAATAGTATGGACACGACACGTTTCCTCCATTAGCCGTTTCCCCGAAACAGGTTCTTATATTATTAGAACCTGTAAATAGTAATACAGAAATACGTTTATTTAAAAGACCATATTATTATCGTACATATAATATAAATTTAGTGAAATAAATATTTATGACAGTATCTTGGACATAGCAAGTTGTCGTCCCGTAATAAACATGTTTTATTACTTCAAGAATTTTTTTATCAAGTTAAGACGGTTACAACATCAGGTGTTTTTAGTCTGTAATTTTAAAATATTTTCTTTTATTTATAAATAATAACTGTACAAAAATCAATATATTTTAATATACAAACGTAAATTGCGCCCAAAGAAGAGACAAATTGTAAATTTCCCTTCGTATTTTTCGTTTATAAATTTCTCTGTGATAAATTGCACCGAATTGAAATATTTTTTGTATGATAGTTATTTAGCATCACCCAGAGGACAATACGAGGAGGCGACTTTCACTTTCATTCAAAAATGATTAAGTTAATAAATATTTAGTTCACAAAAATAGAAAAATTAATTTAAAAAAAAAAACATTTATTATGATCTCAATGATACTTGTTTTCAATCAAGTAAGTGTAAATCCATATTTATGTTTCACTGTTGCACGCAAACAGCTTACTTAAATATTACCTATTATACGTTATGTCGTTGTATACGTCTTGTAAAAGCATTGATAATGCTAATATTATAACGATAGAGATAAACATTCGACTTATCCACCAATAAATGAACAACATTATTTAAGATATATAAAATAGGTATAAGATATGTTCTATGGGCACAATTTACTATACGCATTTTAGACCCTGAAAAATCCCAGCGCAATTTATTATAATATTTTTAATACCTGTTCAATGTGGGCAAAATTTACAAACGCCCTTCGTAATACACACCTAAAATAAATAATACAGTTGTTGTATAATAATAATTATTATAATAATAATAATAATTATAATAATAATAATAATCAATAACAGAAATACGTTCTGTTTATTTTGGATTTAGGATCAACGAGTGAACATAAAAAAAAGATAACAATTTTTTTTAATACAATTTGATATTATCTAATTATATTTAATATACTTCCGTCTTACGTAGTCCGTATACTAGTGTTTTTAACTGAAAAAATCAACTATAATTGTAAACACTAAACAACAATTAATTAAAAAATTAAAATGTAAACAAGTATTTTTATCTGAATTGGAAATATTATATTATATCGTTTTCTTTGTTTTGTAATTTAATTGAAGCTCATAAAATCTGAAACCTAAAATAAAATGGAAGTATTACATTATATGTTATATTTTGACGACGTTCGCCTATTCGGTGAACTCAACCATAGCCTGTAACGTTATCGCTTGATGGACGGAGGTGGCCAGGGAAAAACTGTTCACGACAATATAATAATATTCCGTGCGATAGTCCAATCTTGTCAGCACATCGTCATTGTAGGTCTTCCTAATTTATGACATTTAATAATTGCTGTAGAAGCCAATTAATGTCTCCCCAGAATATTTACTCATGAGCCGCTACTGTTTTTAAATAAACTTATTAACTCACTAACTTATATGTAGTATAATTACTAGTATTTATAATCCATGGTAGCTTAGAAATCGTTTTAGAAAACTTGTTAAATATCTCCGCTGTTGGCGGAAACGGGTACTACCCGTACATTCCATAGGTACCACACACCGACCGACCTGAGTGTTTCAAGTGTGTGTATACTGTAATAGCACTTTTATCCCTCATGGTTTGCAAGTAAATACAGTGTGTTCTGTGGGCGATGCGTGTATGTGTGATGTGTATATAAGTATGTATGTAGACTTAAGGGGGCTAGAGCGTGTTTCATTTTCGGTCAAAAATAAAGCTCACGACTTCAATCACTACGCCCAATATAATGTTAAGATTTTAATTTTGAACATGGATTTGTATTCGTAACTAAATTATCTATGATTTGACATTTTCATTTATCTGATTTTTGTATTTTTTTACTTTGAAATTTACTAACAAAAAGAGCAAAAATACATCATATTCATAGTTCAAATTTAAATAGATTGATATAGAATATGAAAAATGTACGACAGTCAAAGTATAGTAAATTTAGAGGAGAATTCAAATCTCTTTTCAAAATTGAAATCGGAATATCCTACTGTGAGTAATGATTGAAGTCACTGGCGGTGTTTTGAATTGAAAATAATGATGTATTACAAGAAAGTAATTCAACAAATCATGATAATTGTTGTTCTGACCAATTAAAACAGTCAGGTCCATTAGAAGATAGTGAAAATATTAAATCTCAACCAAATGTTCTTCCTGGGTAAGATGCATACTATTGAAATGTTTTAAATTTTTATCTTTTATGATGGGGAAAAAAATCAAATATTATTTGAATATTAAAATTAAAACTTTTTAATTAGACTATCATTTTCGTGTAATTGATGTTTATTTTATTTATTATTTTAAATAAAAAATGTAGACATAATACCTATGATAGAAATTAAAGTCTTAAAATTTCATGAAATATTTCAGAGATGATCCAGCATTATGGATCATAAATGATACTACAGGAGATTTTATATCATTACATGGTTTTAATCAAAATATCGATGGGAACAACTTTTTAAAGTCAAAAAGATTATGCTCTAAAATTGTGAGAGGTACAAGAAAATCGTATTATAGACATTTACCACCAAGCTTATTTCAAACAAAATTTGTAAATGGACAAATTTTAAAAAGAAAATATCTAGCATATTCAAACAGTACAGGATGTTTGTATTGTGTACCTTGTATATTATTTGAAGGAAAATCTAGTTTTGCTTCTACTACTGGGTTTTGTAATTGGAAGAAAGGAGAGGAAAAATTATCTATGCATGAAAATTCAAAAACTCACAAAAACTGTGTTTTAACCATGAAAAAAGAGGTGATTTACATCAAAGAATAGATAAAAAATTGTGTTACAGTTAGAAAATGACGTTAAATATTGGAAAGATGTTTTGCGCAGAGTAACCGCAGTAGTAAAATCATTGTGTTCAAGAGGTCTTTCCCTTAGAGGAAGTGATGATAACTTTGGGAATTCTCATAGTGGAAATTTTATCATGTGCTTAGAGCTTGTTGCAGAATTCGACCCATTTTTAGCTAGTCATATAAAAAAGTATGCAAATAAAGGAAAAGGAGGTACGTCATACTTGTCACTTAATACTTTTGAAGAGTTTGTTAAGCTTATGGGACAAAAAGTACGTGAAACAATAATTAAAGAAATTAAAAAAGCTAAATATTTCTCAATTGTTGTGGATTCGACACCAGACGTATCTCATACAGATCAACTTTCCTTTATTTTTCGATATGTTATAGACAACGGTGAACCAGTAGAGCGATTTTTACATTTTCTTCCGAATACTGGACATAAATCTGAAGACTTAGCTAAAGTAGTATTTAACGTTCTTGAATCGAATACTTTGGATATTCAAAATTGCCGAGGCCAATCTTATGACAACGCGTCCAATATGTCTGGGAAATATACAGCTCTTCAAGCTCGAATAAAACAAGTTTGCCCCCATGCTGTATATGTTCCATGTTCAGCACATTCTTTAAACTTGGTTGGAGAATGCGCTGCTAATTGTTGTTTTTTGGCTGAAGACTTTTATAATTTAATTCAAAATCTATATGTGTTTTTTTCTTCATCTACATATCGATGGCAAATTTTATCTAAGCAGTTACAGGGCAATGTAACTATAAAAATGCTATCGGGTACCCGTTGGTCAGCGCGTCATGATGCATGTTTTAGCCTTTCTTATAACTGGAAAAAAATAATCAAAGCACTAGAAGAATTTGAAAATGATAAATTGGAAAAACCACAAACAATATGCGAAGCCAGAGGTTTGTTAAGAAAACTACAAAGTTTGGAAATGGGAATAATGGTCTCCGTTTGGAGCGATGTACTTGAACGATTTAATGTAACTAGTAAGAAACTTCAAGAAGTAAAAATTGATTTGAAAACTGTTTTATCATTATATAACTCCTTAATCAAGTACTCTGAAGAATTAAGAAATAATTTTGATTTATATGAGCAAAAAGGATTTGAAAAATGTGGAATTAAAGAGTATAAAGACATATCCAGTAGAAAGAAAAAAAGAAAATTGGCTTTTGGAGAAACTCGAGACGCTGAAGCAAAATTAACTCCAAGAGACAAATTTAGAAGTCAAATATATATATCAATCATGGATTCTCTTATTTTTGAATTGAATAAAAGGATGAGCGCTTATGAAGAGATTAATAAAAAATTTTCTTTTTTTTTTCGGCTTCAAATGTTAAGTATCACAGAAGTTCGAAAACAAGGAGATTATTTGAGGAAGTGTTATCCTAACGATTTACCTGTTACATTTCCAAATGAATGTGTTCATTTTAGAAGCTATTTACTAACAAAGTAAAATAAAGAAAATATACCTAAAACTGCTTTAGAAATGTGTAAAATGATACATGATGATGACATTCAAAATATATATCCTTACGTCAACATAGCACTCAGAATGTTCTTATGTTGTCCAGCATCTAATTGTTCATCAGAGAGATCCTTTAGTGCTCTAAAGAGAGTTAAAACATATCTAAAGTCTAGGATGACTGATGATCGGCTCAATAACTTGGCGATACTTCATATAGAGTCAGAAATAACAACTCAAATACAATATGATGAAATTATACAAGATTTCAGTGAGAAAAAATCGAGGCGTAAATTATAATGTTAATATGTTATTTGTATAAAATGTATGGTCAGATTGTCAATAAAATTTTTTAAATAAGTATTCACATTTTTTTTTTTGAATGGGAGGGGGGTATGTAGGGGCGCCTATAAAATGTTACCTGGGGCGTCAAAACTCTAAATACGTCTCTGCTCCCAATACAAGCGAGCTTACAGCTATCAATAGTTATTTGTTTTTGTGTTATTAATAACAAAAAAAATCAATTTTTTCTAAAACTAGAAATCAAAAACAAAGTATTATAATAAAAAATAATATGTTTACCTATAAAATATCCAAAAAAACTAATTTATGTTGCATTAATTGGATAAATCAGTGCTTCACATAACCGAATACTTTTAAAAAAATGCACTTTTATGCATTAATTTCACATTTTTCCCAAAATAAGGCACGCCGCTGTACCATATACTGAAGTTTTGCCATTTTTTTAAACTATAGAACTTTTCTCGGTGATGTAGAGATAACTTTTGTATAAGTATTGTATATTTTGAATAATAGATAAAAATATATATTTACCACAGTGATAAATTTATTTATTTTTAGAATTTCTATAGGTTCTATACTTATTTCAGTTTTTGAACGGGGGAAGAAAAAGAAGGTTTTATACTTATGTCTATCCAATAGAATAATACCAAAATAATATTAAAATTGATTAATTATAATACAAGTAAGTACGTATGCTTTAAATATAATTATGTAGATTAAATACACTTTAACTATAATATATAACATCAATTAAGTTGATAAGAAATTATTATGAGCAATTATGAATTTTTTTATTTTATATTCATGAAAATGTACATCACTAGTCTTAACCCTCGCTTGATGCAGAAAACATCACCGTACGCTCGTTACCTCGTCAAACTCATACAGTTATCAATTTTCGATTTATCTAGTTTTCCGTTTTTAGGGTTTGATACTTAAATATTAATATAAAAATACAAATAATCCAATACTATATAATACCTTCGTCCTTCTTCAAACATTTCTGTTATTTTTCTTGAAAAAATAATTTTTGTTTACACATATATTTTAGTAGCTTAAAATGTTTAGACATGCCATATTGACATTTTTTTTTATTTTTATTTTTTTTTTTTTATTACAATTACAAAATACATACAATTGAATAAAAAAAAATTATATACCTTCCGTAAGCATAGCTTGTGTCGAAGGTATAGAGTTAACTATTTTATATAAATATAATATGTAAATTTACAAATTGATTTTAGGTGATTACATACTTATTATGAACAATACAATATATTAAATTATTTCTTATAGATTAGGTTTTTAAGAGAAAAAAAAGAAAAAAAAGAAAAACAGATTACAGAGTTTAAATTACAGATATAAATAATTATTGATCTAAAGACATAAACAACCATTTTACGACTAATGTTTTGGCATTAAAAATTTTACAGACAATGTTTTTTTTTGTAATTATAGGCATAGAATTAAAATAGGTTGGACCAAGGTAGTCCACGAATTTTTGACCAAATGATTTTTTAAAATAACTAACTTTTGCATCAAAAGCTACTGTTTCTCTTTTATTTAGATTTAGCCAGTTATTAGAGTTATTTACTACCCATAAGATAGCAATTTTCTTGAAAAGTAGGTCTACTGGTAATACATTAAATAATTTGAAGTTAGTAGAGGTTGAACCTTCAAGGGTGGATTTATGTAAACATATACGAACTATTTGCCTTTGATGTATTAACAATGGTTTCAGTGCATTAGCTGAGAGACCTCCCCAAATTAATAGTCCATATTGTATTATAGCTTGGTATAGGGCTAAATATATTGTACGAATTACATGCATTGGTAAAATCTCGCGTAATTTATAAAAACTATGACTCAAAATACGAAGACGCATTAATAAATTATTAACATGCAGATTCCACCTCATGTGTTTATCAATTGTTAAGCCCAAATAACGTATACTTGAGACTCTATATATGGTTTTACAAAGTTTATCATTGCACAAATTATGGCTGTCACAAAAGTGTATCTTTAAATTATCGAAATGTTCTTCTTTGTTATTTACCGTGAAATTCACAAACATTGTTTTATTATAATTTATTGATAGCTTTCTATAATTTATGAACTCTACTACTTTTTTAAATTCTTTTGTTGCTTTTGTACGCACCTCATTCCAGGAGTCTCCTGAGAAGAGGAGACACGTGTCATCGGCATATGTGACGATAAGTCCCTCAATATCTAGACTACAAATACTGTTAATATATAGGATAAATAGAATTGGGCCCAAAACACTACCTTGAGGAACACCGCAGTTTATATACATTTTATCTCCGGTAATACCATTTATTCTAACCATTTGTCTTCTATTTTTCAAGTAACTCCGAAACCAGTCTAAGCTTGATGATACGACACCAAAATTTGGCAAAATTTTTAAAAGTTCTAGATGATCCACCGTATCAAATGCTTTGGCCAAATCTACGAAAATTGCCAGAGCTTTTTTATTGTTGTCCAGAGCATAATTTATAAAGCGTGTTGCGCTATATAGAGCATTTTCTGTCCCTAGACCTGGTCTAAATCCAAATTGATTTTTAGATAAAAGTTTAAATTTTTCTAAAAATTGTATAAGCCGATTCTTGATGATTTTCTCAAATATTTTAGAAAAATTGCTTAGCATAGAAATTGGTCTGTAGTTATTTAAACACGATTTGTCGCCTTTTTTAAATATAGGTTTAATTACTGCTAACTTGAATTCTTCTGGAAATATACTATTTTTGATACTTAGATTATATATATGTGTTAAAGGACCTTTTATATCATTAGCTACATGTTTTAATATTTTAATCGATACTCCATCACATCCAGCTGCAGTTTCGTCTTTAAGATTTATAAGAATATTATGAACATTTGATTTTTTAATAATTTCAGTGAAACAATTGTTGAAAGAGACTCCAGAAGTAGTCTCATTGTATATCAAAGTAGACTTAATAATATCATTTGATAGTGATTTCCCTAAATTAGTAAAATAACTGTTAAATGTGTTGGAAACCATGTACGGGTCGTCACAAGTATTTATAATTTTATTATTCACTTTAATATGACTAATATCCTCCTTATTAGAAGTATGCTTTCCTGTAATCTCATTTATTACTTTCCAAGTAAGTTTAGGGCTGTAAGATACTTTATTAAATTTATTTTTAAAATATGCATTTTTTGCTGCTCTTAATATTGTTGTAAATTTATTTTTATATTTGTGATAATAAGAGACAAGTTTAGTATTATATGGGTGTTTAGTTACTTTTAAGGATAATTCTTGCTTATGGCGTACAGAGCATAGTAGACCTTGTGTCATCCATTCTTTTATCTTTTTATTTTTTGAGTTTTCCAATTTTATTGTTGTTGAAGAATCTATTATTTGAGATACTTTATTTATGAACATTTTTACACTGTTGTTTACATCACTTGAATTAAACACCTCAGTCCACATTTCATTTTTAAACTTTTCGTTTAATTTTTTATAATTTATTATTTTAACATTTTTATTAGTAACTTCCTTTTTTTATTTTTTATTTCAATAGATATAATTGTGGAAAAATGATCAGTTATATTGGTCTGTATTACTCCAGCTTCTATTTTGAGGTTAAGATTTTTTTCATTTTTAAAAAAAATATGATCTAAACAAGAATGTTTCATTCCTACTGGAGCTCTAGTGTACACATTGATAAATGACTTAAATCCATTTTCTGACATAATATCTAGATATTCGTTATTTACATTATCCACACCGATTATGTTTAAGTTAACGTCCCCAATAATAATGATTTTTTCATTTGAAGAATTCAATGTGATAATTAAATTATTTAAAATAGTAAAAAATTCGTGTTTGCTACCAGAAGGTGACCTATATATACACAGCAAACTTAGGGATAACTTATCAGTTTTTAAAGTAACTTTTATAATATTAGCATCTATACATTCATATTCAAAAAAATTTACATTTAAACCATATTTCACATAAATAATGATACCATCATTTTGGTTTCTTTTAATTTTTGAATAATATGATTGATAACCAGGTATCAAAAAATTACAATAGTTTATATCATGCCATGTTTCTGTTAAACAGATTATATCTAAATTTATACAATTAGTATTATTCTGTAGGAACAGCAGAAATTCATCAAAATGACAACTTATACTTCTAATATTACAATGAAAAATGTTTAAAAACAGATTATCAACCAAGTTATATTTATTACAGAATTCCGAAACAGTGTCAAAATATTGTGTTTTATAATCCAGAAAGCGGTTTAATATATTTAAGTGATTCATAATTATTTGAAAAATTTGAAAATAAAGAATAAAATAAAACAAAGGGTTAGGAACTTAAATTTAACTCCATTTTTATAATATGTTGGCCAGGTCAGTTTCTGTATGTATAATAAAACTTTTGGAGGTTTCATTTTTTTTTATATGCATTTTGTCATCTTTGAACCACACAAATTTGAAGTTTCTTTCTTTAGCAAACATTCTTATTTTATAAAATAAATTACTATTATATTTCGTGAGATAATTATTTATGAAAATACCTGCACCTCCCCAGCTTTCATTTATAGTATTTGCAATAATTTTTTCCTTTTTTGCGAGATCCATTAGATTTTTTTTTTGTTCAGCTGACATTAACTCAGCTACAATCTTCG